CGCCGGTGGCGGGAGCCGCGGGGAACCGGCGGCGCCCCGCGGGGGGGGACTGTGGGCTTCGTGGGTGAGTCTCGCTCCCCACCCCGGCCCCCCAAAAAGCCCGACTGCGGCACAGTTAGGCGCTCTGACCTCCGACGATGTGCCACGCTCTGCAGCTCACAGCGTGGCCGCTGGCGCCGGGCTGCAGGCAGCACGGGCCGCCAGCCGGGCTCGGAGCGCGGTCCCGTTCATCCAACGCAGAAAACACCGCCAAACACGGCACCGGCAACTCGCCTCCTGCGTTCAAGCTTTTCTGCAGCTGCCAGAAGGCTCAGGATTACGGCAGACGCTTGATTTCGTTAGCTTCAAACGGATGGAAAATCCCCTCTTCCCTCGAACGGCAAAGGTTTTTCTTAGGGACAGACTTTAAGGAGTTACTTCTGGATAAAATGGAATGAGGATTTCAGATTGCAATTTTAGAGTAAGTTCGGGATTTGCAAGTTTACAGTCAGTACAACAGAGCTGGAGATAAACTTTTGCGTTGGCCAAGTATCACGCTGTAACGCGCTACCAAGTCTCAAAGCTGGTCTGAACCTTGTGTATGTTCCAGTGGGACATGCCACGTTTACAGCGTTCAACAAATTTATATTACGTACCGTCAATGAAATTCTGTTCAGTTGAGTTACGTGCCTTGCTACTGTGATCTGTTGTCGAAAAGAACAGCATCGTTAAACCATTTTCCCTGTAAAATAGAAGTGTTTACTTCATAAGCATATCTGAAGGTTACAGAAAGATTATCCCCTACTAAGAGCCGGGAGCGTGCTTACACATCCTGCTCAAATCTATTATTAGGAAGCAGTTGAATGCTCTGGATGCCTGAGTTGTAAACTGAGGACTGTAAAAAAATACACATTTTGGAGAAGAGGTGAGATAGGCCTTTTCCTTGAAAATGACACTCAAGGAAGCGATTACAGCAAGAACTGCCACAGCACTGATGCGTCAAGTGACGCTTTGCAGCAAGACTGTCTTGTGTTTTGAAGCCGTATAGAGACAGGTGATTTTCAGGCACTTCTAGATCGTGCTCAATGCACACAATGGTCACAGCATCTGCCAGCTGAAAGACCTGCACATACAGAGACATATTAGAAGCAATTAAAACTATCTGGGACCTAGATAGGATCTTCTCACAGTTTAGGTCTGGGCCATGAACTGGACAAGCATACAAGAAACTTTGCAGCTTTTTTGTTTGTTCTGCCCAAAGAGGGCGGGGGGGGGGGAACCAAATCAAAAAAACCAAAAGGAATGATTCTTTAAGGAAAAGAACACCTTTTCTTTCAGAGACAGATTTGGGAGAGAAAAAAAATAAATAAAATAGCATAAAAAATAAAATCCCCACCAACATTTAAGGGATCGTGCCGGTTCAGCTTTAATTCCATTTCATCTAGATGCAGTAACCTAGTACCTGTAATAATCAACTCAGGTTAAATAAGATGCCAACCTCAAATGAAGTTTGTGATCATTTCTCCCACAACCACATCAATGATAAAAGCAGTACTCGGTGTGTTAGCAGCTGAGCGCTATTGCTACACTATAGGGTAAACAAGCTTGTACGTGTTCTATGGTAGGTGCAGTAACACTATCAGAAAACTAAAAATCTCAAATCAGTCAGTATGGTTAGTTTGAACACATTTAAGTTCTGGAATGAAGTCTTCCAATATTATTTAAAAAAAAAATACAATTCAACACCTTCTTTGTTGGAAATGCATGGAAAGAATTAAAAAATGCAGATGAAATCTATTAACATCCAAAATGTATCAGGTAAGGAAATGATAACTGTAAATTAAATGCTATATAGCACTTATATAAGCCCTGCTGCAAGATTGTAAGGGGAAAGCATGTCCCACTTGTTTAACATCTAAACTAATAAAAGTACCATCAGAGAAATATTTCAGTTGGGAAATCAAAGACTAATCAGATGATAATGCATATCCTTTTTTGTAAATGGATGCATTAAAAGAAAACAAAATATAGCTCACATTATTTGTACTGTATGCTACAATATCAGGATGATACTCAACTAACGGAACCAGTACTAACCAGATTCTTCATATTAGCTGCTCTATCATCCTCAGGACAGCAATTCTTTACTGCAAAGAAATACACAGCACTCTCCATGGTTCTTTTTTAGCTGGTTCTAAAGCAAGCAACTTTGTACAGCATCAATCTCTTCTATAACATGCCACTGTAAGTCCAAATAACTGTAGGAGGGGGAAAAGACACCAAACAAAAGTTAAACTATGCAACCTTTTCCTTTATTTAGCTTCTTTCTCCTAAATAAGCCCATTAGAAGAAATAACACAGTCTGTTGCACCGCATTTACCTGTTACAGCATATTCTCACCATTCTTTTGCAACATTTTCTAAAAGGTATCGTATACCTGCTGCTGCAAAGAGCCTGCGTCTAACTTGCTCACTAGAGCCTGTCATTTGCTGGACCACAGGACCTTCCACAATACTAAGACTTAATAGGCAGAGATGGCTTTCCTAAGAGGGTGCACATAGGAAACGTGATAGATTTCTACTAACTAGTCTCATTTGACATGAGACAGCATCCTGAGAAATTTGGGGCAGAGGGGCAAACAGTAGCTACCGCGCACAAGATTTGTAGTGAAGGATCTCTGAACTCCTAGCATGGCACTTAAAATCCTCCATTTTCAGGACTAACATTCTGTATGGAAAAAGCTCCTCTCATCAAGTGTTAATGCAACTACGCAAAATATAACATTCACAGCATTCCAAAAGGTTTTATGTAACTGTGTGTTATACCCCTTACGCCTCTCCTCTTTATTCGAGCCCTCAGCGTAACAATGACTTAGGTCTACCAAAACAGAATTTCAGTTGGTCTGAACCAGCCGACTGACCCCCAGCCTTTGCAGGGAAGATGAGGGGAGTCCAACCACAGATACACGAGGGGAGCTGTAGCAAATGGCAGTTCTGATTCCTCAGAATGGCAAGATTTTCCTCAAAAATTTCTGAAACAGTAACATGCATCTTGATTAGTTGTTTCTATGGTTATTCAGCAGATGGGTTAGGGTTTTTTTTTATTTCCTCACACTAGCTCTATATTATAATGGTATGGCCTAAAGTTAGACCAAGTATCATTTTCAACTTCTGGTGTTTGCAGTATGTTATTAAGTTAATTTTCAAGATGTTTTCACGTTTTTTCAACTTAGAAACAGTAACTGGAAGCATTTAAATACAAAAAATATTTAAGAAAATGTTGGGGTTTTTTAAGGTCACATTATTAGACTTCTTTATTCTGGGGCAACCCCTACTTATTTTTTGTACATAGACTGAAAATATTTAAGCCTTTTAAAGATCCCCCAATAATTTTACATAGTACAACATAGCTAGCAAATGATTTAAAACAGAAGGTACTTTAAGAGTTTGCTCGTATTCATAACCAGGGAACATTCAGACTCCAACTTTTAGACCCCATCTCCTCCATCTGTTAATGCAGACAAGTAGCCTTTTAAAAGAACCTTGAACGACCCCTGAGGGAAGTCTACCTTCTCCACCTGGAGAAGCTAAACCTCCTACTTAGATGCCTGAAGCCAGTTTGCTGAAGTGTAGTGAACCTTGCTAGAAGTTTTAAGTTTTACAAGCTTTGCAGAGAAAAAGGAGGCTACGGGTTGCTCTTTTCTAGTAATTGGAACTAAGAGAAAACCATTATCTACTGATTCACTTTGTGGATGTCCATTAAATTATACAAGCACTTTGTTGAAATCAGCTTTAATCAGCTACATCAAAGGCACTTGTTTCACTCAAACAGAATTAATAAAACCTGTTATCCCAAAGGCAAACAGTAGTAACATGAGAGTGGCAAGCAATGAAAAGAAAATAAAAGGGGAAAAAAAATCTGTTGTACAGCTATTATTCTTCAAAGAATCCCATTTCCAAGTTAACCAACAGACATTCTGAAAACTTCTTGAGAGTCACCTTCTTCACTTACACCAGTGGTCTCATACTATATTTGATAAAGTTTAATACAATAGTACATCGTGATTTTTTTACTATGCTAATTCTAGGCAATGTTTCTCCTCACAATTATCTCCTCAGGGATGCCAGGGCTGAAAGTAAATAGAAACCGAACATTACTCAAAAAGTTTATCATAAAATATAAACAAATTACTCTGTATAGTTAGCATTGCATCTTTATTGTTACTAACTATTCTTATCTCCTTAAATTGCCACAATATATTCACATACAGCATTGCAGCTGACATGCATTTCCACACATTCATGTGTGCTGGTTTTGGCTGGGGTAGAGTTAATTTCTTCACAGTAGCTAGTATGGGGCTATGTTTTGGATTTTTGCTGAAAACAGTGTTGATAGTTCAGGGATGTTACTGCTGAGCAGTGCTTACCCAACATCCAGGGCTTTTCTGCTTCTCACCCCACCCCACCAGCGAGGAGGCTGGGGGGGCACAAGGAGTTGGGAGGGGACACAGCTGGGACAGCTGACCCCAACTGACCCAAGGGGTATTCCAGACCATAGGACGTCAAGCTCAGCATATAAAGCTGGGAAGAAGAAGGAATGGGGGGGGACATTCAGAGTGATGGTGTTTGTCTTCCCAAGTAATCATTACCCATGATGGAGCCCTGCTTTCCTGGAGATGGCTGAACACCTGCCTGCCCATGGGAAGTGGTGAACGAATTCCTTGTTTTGCTTTGCTTGCATGAGTGGCTTTTGCTTTACCTTGTAAAGTGTCTTTATCTCAGCCCATGAGTTTTCTTGCTTTTACCCTTCCAGATCTCTCCCCCATCCCACTGGGAGGGGAGTGAGCAAGTGGCTGTGTGGGGCTTAGTTGCCGGCTGGGGATAAACCATGGCATCATCAACCTCCTAACTGTACTTCACCCTGACTTTTAGACATCACAATCTATGGAGCCAAATGGCCTTTTAGTTGCTTTAAACTACTTGAGGGGGGAAGCCTGCCTTTACTACATGTACACCCCAATCCCTCTCAAGTTTCTTCAGCATCCCTTCCCAGATAATCTCAAGTTTTCTCTAGAGGGCCCCACACTAAGTATACCACTGCTCAGCCTCAAATATTACAGTCAACCTAAAGAGCACATGTAACCCCTGACCTGAAAACTGTTTCTTTAACAAATATGTTAAGTGGTATGTATGCCAAACCTAATATAACTTCAAAGGCTCCCCGACACCACAGAACCCCCAGAGAAAGGTGTAGCAATACACAGTGAGAAGACTTGGGCTCTTTACTGGCCCAGAATAACATTACTAGAAATTATTTTAATTTCCTCCACCTTTCAAAATTACTGCAAATTCCAAGAAAACAAGGTAAAATAAAATTAACCCAGAATATGAAAAAAATCAAATCATACTTAGCATTCTCTCAATGAGGTAGAAAAATGTAACTTGACAAGTGATTTTTTTCCTTTTCTTTTCAGCAACTACAAATCATCGTTCTTCTGTATTATACCGTCATGCATACATTACCATGCAATATATTTGCAAGAAGCCTCTGAAGTGCCTGTTTCACAGCACATGAAAGCTCAACTTCTTTCAGGTAAGTATGGAAAAAGTCTTTAGTGCTTGCCCAAGCACTGATTGAAATTTATTTCACAATGATAAAAATGAAAAGATTTTACATTTTCCCTACTACAGAAATAATTTCCAAAGTTAAGATTTCTTATCATAAATAAAATGAGTAAACTAAGTAAATTACATCTTAGATGTTGATATTAAATATAAATGGCTTATACTTCATAACACAAAAGAGTAACCATTCAATATTTCTTTATAAAATTTAAGATACACAGGCCTTGTACATATGGCTTCATTAACATCTTACACAGCTTGTTCTCAGTCATGTCCCTCAATGCAAACAGCACCTCTACATAAAAGATGCATCCTAACAATTTCAATGAAGTGCAGTATACTCCATTAGAGAGAACATGTTTTAATTAGTTCTAATACCAGTTACAGTGTACAGTACTTTTACCAATCTACTGTGTTGTAATTATACAAGATAGGAGGAAGAGACCAAATCATACAGCCCTCACCTCAGTACAGACCCCAGTACAGGTTTATCTCAAGAATAGCTGGAAGATTTGGCTTATAATACATAAGTCAACATGTTTTTTAAAAAGTGGGCAACATATTCCAACAAGAAGTCAGACTGCACAAAACTGCAGTCAAATTGAAGTACCATTTTGAAATTAAAAACACATTAGGGAGTTAGATACCCACTGAAACAAACTGATCTGCAAGCACAGTATTTTCGTATCAATGCTTTCGCAGGTTTGACAGACATCATCTCCTTTTGGGGAAAGTCTAACATTACAAAAAATAAACTTTATTATTGGACAGTTTCAAGTTGTAGTTTATGAGGCTAGGACATTCACATTTAGAACACTGACAGTCCAACTTCTCCGTTGTAACAGAGCATTATGAAAATCCCCACACCAGACTGAGCTATCATTCAGCCTAAAAATACAAGCATTTATAACAACAATCCCAGCACAAAATCACTTCAGGTAGTGAAGAAGTTCAGCTACAAGATCATACACACAGCTTTCCAACCAGCTGGGAAGTTACAGAAGACAGGAGCTCAAGATACATGCTGTAATATGGGAAGAAACAGGATACAACCTTGAAGTTTGCTCTAGCTTCTGGGCTGTTTAACAACCCCCAACTACAACATACACATACACTCCTGCAAAAAAAACCAACACTTGAGGGGAATTCTTCCTAGAATACAGAAATTCAGAGCAAGTCACAACATTCACTTACGTTTACTTTGGTAACACAGCTCTTTGTAAATAAAGCAAGCAGCAAAACAACAGTATGAAAAAAAAATCTTGTTATGACAGCTGAAAATTTCAACAAATTTAGCACATAAAGCATTTCGAAAAAACATCTGAAAGCATCATGGAGATGGCAGTTGAATCTGGCCTGGATTAAAATGCTTAAGTACTGGAAACTGACCACAAGCTGTGAACCCAGTTCACCAAACTGAAGAATCTGTTATGAAGCTAACACAGAATAAAGCTAGGACTGATCTCATCTTAACATCTTAGAAATATTTTTTTAAACTCATTCTAACAGAAGAAAGAATATGTGAAATGAGGACACAGTCAATTAGAAGTTGAACAAGACAGCTGAACAGCATTATCAAACAACTTACAAACAGAACAAGAAAATAACAAAGGAAAAATTAGAAGCTTGTGCAAGAACTTTGGAAGCATGCCAATATTCAGGGAATTATTTAGACAACAGGGGAATGAGGATAAGTCTAAAAACTAGCAGAAATAACATATAGTTTGCTTACCAAGTTTGCAATTCAGCAGGACTGCAAAATTAGCTAATGCAATTTGGGAATGACTCCAAGCTAGGACACACTGTTTTCTTAAAAGAACTTTGGCACAACTACAATAAGAATATTATGGTTCCTTCTGTGAACTAAATTAGCTGAAAGACAAATTGGCAGATCTATAGAACAGAGTGACTGAGTGAAAAGACTAATTAAACTTCAAAGTTAATAGACATGCCCTCTCAAACACACAGATGGAATATCTAAAAGTGTTTCAATACTATTTAGAAAAAAACTCCTTTTCAATTTTACATATTAAGAGATGTTTAATAATCTAGAGAAACTGGATTAGAAAAGAAAAACAGCTTCCTAAAAATGAAGTGGGATACATATGAAAAAAAGTACTGTAAACTGAGAACTTGCACTAGGTGAACAAGTCAGATTTCTGGCAGCAGCTGTGTTAAAGAAAGGATATAAAGGCATAATTCCCCATTTATGCATTTGTATTGGCAGATGCCTTGGATATAAAACCATATATACTGTAGGAGGACCACTTGATTAAGCTGGGATAGGAGAAAGTACCTTAAATGCAGGTATGAAGCACAGTGCTGACATGACAGAGGCATCCAAAATAGGAATATTCTTTGCTTGCAAACATATAGAATAGAGCATTGTTATGCAGCATATTACGCAGTAAAAACTGTAGTGCATTTTTTTAAACATTCCTAGTGTGGTGACAGCCTCTGAACTCTACAGAAGAACAGCTGTTCCCAGAAGTAAAGTATGGCTCTTATGGCTCTTAACTGCAAAAAGCTCTCAGTGTGCATCAGTTTCTGTAACCCAGTGAGTTCTAGAATTTTAAGCTTCTGAAAGAAGAGACATTCTGTATCTTGTAGATTTTTTTCCCATAGTAGGTCTTCATATTCCTAGGCTATACTGATCTATGGAAATGCAGAATGATATATTTGAAAATAAAATTCTTTGTTCTTTTTCAGAAAAAAATCAAGTCTCAGCATGCAATAAAAGAAAGTATCAGATGGTATCAATTTGAAGTTTAAGTTATATCCCAATTGCACTTATATTTCTATTAAAAAAGAATTCAAATTAAGTCAATGTCTGTGTTACAGATGAGACTTCAACAATACACAAAACTACACAGCTGCTTTGTTTAAAGTTACTCCAAAGCAGACAGAAAAATCAAAACTATATGCTGGAATTGCTCATGCGAAATACATCAACATCTCTGCACAAATGAAAGCTACAAAGACTAAAGCACAAGACAGATATTCAGTATGAAACAGGAATTTTTAAATGAAATTCAGATTAATCCTATGCACTTCAGAATTCTTTTCCAAGTCAGCATTTGACGTGAGTTTTTAGTAAAAAAAAAAAAAAAAAAAACAAAAAAAAAAAACAAATGACTGTCTAACAAGGCATGAGTCCCTTTAGAATTTCCACAATATCTGCCTGTATGAAAACAGTTAAAAATTGAGGTGGTTTAAATATAAGAAATACCTTTGCTGACTTCTAGGCATCATAGGAGAACAACCCTCCTTATCTGGAGTAACAAATAACATTTAATATTTAAAGCTTTGTCCTTGGTAGCATTTATTCTACCATCATATGCCCACTATGTTACATGTTGTGTACTTTATGCATCCATTACACAAAGGAAATTTTTTGTATGTTTTCTATAAGTATTAAGAACAAATCATGTCTCAAATATAACTAAACTAGTCACATTTATGTTGCTTGCTTAGATTTAGTTTTTAATTACTTGTACAAACAGTTTTAAATTCTGCAATCAAAGAAAATCAGACATCTTAAAACAGTATGCTTTGGTTACATTCTGTCATTGTTACCTAGCTGCCTCATTCATATAGTCCCACCAGTGGATGATTAATACTAAAAAATATTATAGTTTCTTGTACATATGTATTATTCAATCCTCATCCTAAGTATAAATTTGCAACACAGTAGTAACACTGCAGGTATAGAAGTAATGCTTCCTATCAGGCATATGAAAAGATTAACTCTACCACAGTTGATGCTGGTGTATAGAAGGCTTCTCACATATCATTTCAGTCTACAGGAGGTAGATGTTTGTCTATGAACTGTTTTACATCCATCATCTCCTGTTTAAAGATAAAAGTATGTATTAGTTGAAGTTCCCTACTAATATAGATTCAGCTACACTTCAATTCAATACACTTCAACATTCAATCATGTTTCAACATTTCAGTTATAATGACCAGCTGGGCTACAAATACTGAGTAATTAGTTACTTGATAAAATCATACCACTTTGCACTCAAGTCAAGGCTGCTAACTCTTCAAGGCACTATGCACTCAGAAGAGGCTAAAATACAAGAAAAAAAAATCAAAGACTACTTTTTTTCTCTCTCTCTCTGAAGCTGAGCTGGCAAACTACATATTAATCAAGTGATCTGAATAGCACCAGGCTCAGCATGGGTAGGATTTCATTGTAGCTAAGGCCATAGCTTTGTGTATACTTTAAACTTTTGCAAGTTAGCAACAGTGTGAAAAGCCAGCAGCTTGTCCTCCTAACCATTCAGTTTCACCTTCATGATGCTTCCTTCCTTAAGGAAAAGCAATACAGCAAACTAGAGTGGGAAACCAATCCATGTTAAAAATAATTTAATTTTAATTTTTTTTCATTAAGTCAATGTTGTAAGAAAGAGCACATTATTAATATATTTGTGTGAAAACTCAGTGCTATTACTGCCTAAACACAATACAACTTGGTAAATGTCCCAGAGAGGTTGTCCAAAGGTACAGTCCCCACAAGATGCAGCAATCCAAATTTAAAAAGTTACTGCTGCTGACAAATGGTAGATTTGTTCCTTGCCTCCTCTTCTGTTTCCTGTTCCTACCATTTACTTTCTGTAAGTTGATGCTTCAACTCACTACAGCTGCAAGAACTGAAGCCAGCAGCTTTTGCCATTTTAGCAAGTTCAAATGGTTCAAAGAAGTTTCTGATTAGCTCCAGAGCTGGTGCAAGAAGGAAGACAGGGCCACAAGGTCATAAGCAGAGAGAACTAGTCCACCTCTTTCTGGCAGCAGCAAGCCATTACATCAGCTCAGCTGCCTACTGAGCCAGAACCATAAATATAGGTTCAGAGGCTGCTTCTTCCATAGCGTTAACCCTCCCTCCCTCCCTATTCCTTTGATGTCTCCATCCATAGAACTAACAGGATTCTTCTCTCCAAAATACCAAGTTGGATTTATGCTGTGAGAATCTGCCTTCCAGTTCAGTGGGTTTTTTTTTTAACAAGCAAATAATAAAAATTAGGATAAAAAAAAAAAAAGTATTTTATAGATCAACTAGCTTAGTCCCAAAAATACAATCTTATGAGGAAGTTCCCACTAGTCACATAAACTTTTGCCTTGGATGCTTTTTCAGCCAGGCATTCAGTTACTCACTAAATTAAATCAGTTGCATCAAGCACCTGTTATTAATAAAAAAAAAAAAAAGCCAACAACAAAAAAAACCCAACCCCCCCCAAAGCCCCCACCCAATACATATTTGTTTTGAGGGAAGAAAATTAACCATACCCAGCTAAAAGATTGTATATTAAGAAAATTACCTCAATACATGAGCTATGCATCATGCCAGAGTAAGTCCTGAAGGTTATGTTGGCTGGATTTATCATACTCTTTAGCTTCTCAACAGTGAGAGAACCAAACATTAAAGGAACCAATGGGTCACAGTCTCCATGGCACTGAAGAACAGCAATCTCCTTGTTGACACCACTGATAGGGCCCTGTTAGGGGTGGAATTAGAGGGGAGAAGAGAAGAAAAAGACAGTAAGTGGAGTTAAGGCTAACATCTTTGAGATAAAATAACCCCATGGCACTGCGCCCTGTGGCATGACAAATAACTTGAATTCTGAAGGAAAAAAACACGATATATAGTCTGCAAATTCATTATGAAGTAAGCTCTGTGCCTGACAACACATTAAGTTCAAAAACCTGCAGATAAAATTTTGGCACTAATTTCAGAACAGAACATCATAATTTCTGGCCAAGTAAACAACCTGATACTTTGTTTAAATACCTAGTCTCTAGTAAGATAGTGCCTTGCAGATGGAAGAAATGGCAAATAGAAAATTCATCTTCAAGGAAAATTTGCCATATCCCTTAATTTTCCTAGGAACGTCATTCTAAGCAGAAGAGATAGCTACTGAGTATTTCCTCATTTTCTCTACTTGCCAAGCTCTAAAACTCCAGGGCCCTATTTCAAAACCTTCCGAGTTATGAAACAACTGTCAATATTCGGTAATAACGATGGCCACTAATTCATGCACAAGATACAATCTTCAAATATATTCACTCCCTGAGTGCAAATTAGCTTAGGAAAGAAACATAAATACCTGAGGAAAAGAAGCCCGTAGAGGAAGCCAACAGCTGAGGGCTACAACACCTGCTAATTTTTGTTGTGTTGTAAGAGCTGTATACAATGATAAAGCACCTCCCTAAGATAAAGAGATATAAGTATTAGAATGGTGATGGTAATGGTCCTTTTAATGCTTGTTTCAAGATCTCTGGTTTCTCCTTTAAAGGCCTTTTTCTATTCCAATCTATTCTTCCATAGAACCAATACTAAAACCAGTATTCCTGTACAACAATTATTTTGCTTTTTTCCCCCCTCCAAGTTCATGTGATCAATTCAGAAGTAAACCAGCAAATTTACTGTAACTAAGCTGGGGAAAAAAAAAAAACAAACAAACAAACATGAAATAAAGCACTATCACTCATGACAGTATTAACACTACTTTAATTTACTTGCATGCAGACTGGGGAGTTGGTGTACGGACCAGTTAATCTAACCTACCTACCACAGTATGGTATGTTACAAGTATGAAGGGAAGAATTTCCCAAATAAATCCAGACCCATCAAATATCTACCAAATTAAAGTGAAATTAAAAATACTAGCAAGATTTTCAAGCAAAGCTACATACATTACATGCATAAAAACTTTAAAGAGACTATTAATTTTAGTACCTTTTTTCCACATGCATGTTCATTTACCAGTGAATAGTAATTACTTGCAGAAAACTAAAATAATTGATTTGTTAAGGCAAAGGAAAATTGACACCTTAAAATTTTAGAAACACCTAACATCAGCTCTTTTCAATTCAAGTGTCTGGATTTCCCATGTTAGGAAAGCTAAATTACTTCCCTAGAAAAAGATATGGTTCTTTCCAACCATTCCTTACCTGAGAAAAGCCTCCCAGAATAATTCGATTAGAAGGAATTCCATTTTTTACTTCTTGATCTATCAGTGCTTTAACTGCAACATAAATAAAGGCCAATAGTTAAAAACCACTCCATTCTGTTGAAAGTCTAGAAGAGGAAAGAGACCTTCTCCCTGATGTCAACAGAAAGGTAATGAAAGGAAAATCTAGTCTGCTATACATTAAAAAGTATCAAAAGATCTAGAGCATGATTAGAAATTCCAGTGCCAGTGTACCATTTCCAAAGAGAAAAACATGCAAGTAAGTCTCACAAAAGCCCTACTGCCAGGAAGATGGTATCCTCTTCTAACTATCCAGCATCACAAGTGGATGCTCATACAGCTCTAACTTGCTGTGCTACCCAGAAGCTCTTAAAAAAAAAAAAAAAAAAAAAAAAAAAAAAAAAAAAAAAAAAAAAGAGTACACTGGTTCCAATGTACATTTCATATTTGAGAGCATGAAGTGTTTATACTGGTGAATTACTCTACTAACTTATGAAGTTTAAAAAAAAAACCCAAAACAACAAACAATGCACTTAGCTAAACTTTGATCAGCAATAATACAATATATACATATTACTTCCCCTAATAATTTTGTCTTTGGAAAATCTGTTTCAGACCGATAATTCATTTTTAAGAATACACAGAAGTACTTTTAAGACATAAAAATTATTCCTAAGCATACCATTCTCCGCTGCCTGCTTGATCCCAACTTCATCTTCTTGTGAATCTGGAGAAAGTCCAATGATATCAAACCTTACAAAAATATCAACAAGAGCATTACACATTAGAGCATCCATTCCACTTCCTTAAAACACAAATAATAAAATTGGGATATTTTCCAGATAAAAATGTTAGCTGACATACTATTTAGTACCAACCACCCATAGATTACAAGAATTAGCGGACAATCTGTGAATGTGGCTAAAAGGCTAGATCCAGTCAACAAAGCTTTTCTGAGTTTTGATATCTTCTGTAATTTACTGCAGATTAAGCAGCTCAGTTTTGATATTGGCTCCAAAAATATCAGCAGGAATTACAATTTATCAGAAGAAGCATAGGAAAAATAAACACAAGTTACTTGAGAAAAACAAAACAAAAAAACCCCAAAGATGACTAGTTTAAGACCATTGGAATCTACCATATTTTTCTTGTTCTCTATTCAGAATGGATGTTTTAAAGAACAGCTGCTAGATATTCTACTGACCCACCAAATATTACTCACTAGTAGCAATAACATTTCCACTCCACGTCTCTACTACTACTGACTATGAATTCATACACAACACAGACTATAGACTGCACTTGTAAATTAAATTGGGTTTTGTATATTAAGACATACAGCTTAGTCCTAAGGAATAACTGTTACCAGAGATACACACGGAGAATTACAGTGTACTCATGAGAGCCCTTTCATAAGAACAGAACTAAAGCAAAAAGCTTTTTATACTTACATGTGATTAAAACCAGCCATTCAGGTTGTTCATGGTTTTTAATTAAGAGCAATAAGTTCAAACCTCTAGATATCTTTTGATCAGAATTGTCTGCAATTGAACAAATACTTACCATGATGGCATAGCCATGTTCATGTTCAAAGAAACTGGCATAACTGGCCTAGAAATGAGAATGAACACCACTGACGTAAGGTACATACTGAAATTTAATAACACAGATGCAGTTATGTCATGAAATTACATATCTCTAATTCTCTTACTTTTAAACCCTAATTAACATTAGCTACTTTGTAGCACCTCTTCAAGAAATCTCTCTCGAAACCTGCCAGCCCAAATATATTTAATATTCAGGGTTGAATTACCACTCTCTATGGAGAGCAAGCAAAACATTAATGGGCTGCTTTATATATATATGTGTGTGTGTGAGTGCATATATATCACATACATATTTTTTATATATGTATATAATTTAGTTATTTCTAAGTAACAGTTATTTATCACAGTTCCATACATGTGCTTAGTGGGTGAAGGCACCTTAGACAGCAGCATCAGCAAACCTAAGGAAGCGGTGAAATGCAGCATAGTGGTGGATACGAGTCTGGCCACACGTACTTCTCCCAGCAGCAGAATCTGCTTAAGCAGTGCCGGCCTTCACTGCAGGACTCATTCCCACCCTTATGCTGCTGTACGGCATCTTTTCAGTCATACCAAGACAACTTCAATGGACCATGCCATGGATCAAGTCTGGCTATAGTTTTAATCTACTGAAACTGAGGAACATAAGTTCTGCAGGGAAAGACTGAAAGAAGACAAAGGGCAAGCAAAGAGAACAGCAGATATTGCCAAGCTCTTTTTGAACAGCTCAGCAAAGCGTGGCCATGTGGTAAAATAAATAAATAAATCACAGCCTGGTAATCAGTAATACAGCAAAACATTGCTTACTTATCTCCCTATGTCCCTGCTCCATATCTCCCAAGACTGCTGGAGCAAAAGACAATCTGAATTTTGTGTTAAAATAAATTAAGGTTATACTTAATTAGTTTTTCTGTCATTAAGTAAATACTAGATAGATCTTAATGCTTTATTTACTGACTCCTGACCCTGCTCAGAAGTATTTCACTTCTCCAATTGCACAAAGACAGCTCAGATTGCATTATTTGTTGAAAATACAAATATCCTGTGAATCTTTGAAACTTTCTGCAGGTAACAGGGAAATTTCATCTACTATGAAATTTTAAACCTGAGTTTAAGAAGTACATGTACCTAACACAAAGTATATTTAATGGTCAGAAAAATACAAAAAAATTACTCCTTGTTAAGACTGGCTTTTAACAAGTGACTGTTGGGGAAAGAAAGGCAACAAACAATTCAATCCAGTGAGAACATAGTCAAAAAAAAAAAAAAATCTAACTTTGCACATAAAACTTTCCAAACATGTTTTCAGTCTGAATTAGTAACAAAACCAAAATATGAATAAAAATGCAGTTTTGCCATAAAGTAAATCACACAGCAGTTCCTAAAAATAACAAAATCTTTAATAGCATCAACATTATTTTAGTGGGTTTTTTTACATAAAAACAAAATGCAGAGACATCCAAATTCCATTTGACTTCATCATCTGTGCAAGTGTCTTAGTAAGTAACTCCACAGAAAAGTGTAAAGCAAGAAAAGTTACAAACTTACGCATGTGGGCAAATGTATTTTACATGGGGGCTTTTGATACCTGCAAGCGCTTCTGACCATCCATGCCTGTTAACAAAAAATATATTAAATGGCATGTATGTTTCAGCTTAGCTCTTATTTCTATGCTGTTGCAACAGCACAGAGCAAGTATGAAATACGCTGAATTAGATCAATATAAACACATTTCTAGAAAATGTTTACATCAACTGCAGTATGCAATGAATGTAGTACTAAACTTAAAAGGTTTGTTCTGCCTCTGAGTATTTGTTGCATATATATAGCCAGGGACACTTTAATTTGACTATCATAGTTGTGGTGCAGCTGCAGAAATACCACTTTGGCTCTAGGCAAAGCCTGCTCTGTATCTGGGTGGGTTTATTAACTTGGGTGCTACAACATATGAACACAGGTATCCTGCATCCAGGCAGCTCTAGCCCAGAGGCTGCTTTGCTGCTCCTGTAGAGTTAAGGCACCTTCTTTCACAGCCAGGTTGTTTTTTCTGAGCCAAATTTCTTGATATGGGAGAGTAGCGAACTGACATTTAAGCTAATTCCACATGGAGCCAACCTAATCAATCAGACCTACTAACTTTGGCTGAGCTCGTATGCTCTCAGATTCAGGCAGTCCTGAACAACACTCCAGACTGCAGGTGGGTTTTTTTAATCTCAAGCACGTGCTGTATGAATGCACAGAACAATGCAAGATCTGCACAGCAGATGAGTTATCATGCTTCCTACAAACCAGAAAACTGGAAAGTATAATTTAAATAAACAGCTCCGAAAGACTCACTCCAGGGCTCATCGAGACATGAACTGAGCTGGACCCAAATCTGAACCTGTGCAGAACCACTGCCTGTGCCTGCATTTGGCTTTCCAGTACACTCAATAGTACTTGTATGTCCTGATTTTTCTCATTACTCAGTGTTCCTAGCTCACCCACTAAACTAGATACTGGAAAGTTGATTCTAAGCAGAAAACACCTTTAACAAATTCATCAGTGACACAGCTGAACTAATCAGACCAACAGCAGACAAGCCATAAACACGTTTGGTTTAGTTTTCATTTTAATATCATCCTGAAAAGTTAATGTATGCTACCTAAAGTTAAAGACATTTCAAACACACAAACAGCACAGACATTTGAAACACTGGCTGTAGATCTCAGCCTACTTCCTACCAATACTTTTATATATACTATTAACAAATTGCGGGTGATACTACTTGCAGAATATTTGCAGTATGACAGAAAGCCAAATAAGAATCTAAAGGAGAAATAGGACTGAGAAAAACTAGTTAGGTAAGAATTTGGGGACTTTTTTTAGCTAACTATGAAGATTAATTTGACAAATTTGGAAAGCAACATTGCATACACATTTATGCAGACTTAGAACAATCCTCTACGCTGTACCTTTTGTTCAGATTTTGACAAGTACGAACCAATTTTTAAGTGCCATTTATATAGGAGCTAAGAGAGAAAAAGAACATAACCTCTGTTAGACACTTCTCAGAGTAAGAAAAATACAGGTGGTAAACTGAAGTGAGCAATTTAAAAATTCATGTGAAGTAGAACAGGTCAGTTTAAACTGTGGGAAATGATAAAATTATTGATTAGTTCTCTTCAGACAATTCTTTTTTGGGTCACTACTATGGCTTTTTTTGAAAAAAAAAGATGGCAGTTTGTCAAAAGCAGTTTTAGCTAATCTGATCTGCGGTGGACTAGAGAAACAAATACAGCTACATCACCATATTTCCACAGAGGTGTTATGACTTGTTAAGGCATACATTCCAGTACGCTCTGCATTTGCAAGCTTGAGACTCTGCATTAGCTTTGTCACCAAAATGGACATACCACATTTGTATAAGTAATACAATTTATGTTAGAGAGCAAATCTCTTGTGTTTTTTTCCCCTTGCCAAAACCGACATCAACCCGATTTGCAAGGACTCAAATTCCAAAGACTCAAAAGATTCTGCAATCACTTGCTGTACATTTGGTGCCAAGATGCAGGCAGTACTGCTGCCTCAGCTGCGTCCTACCAGCAGAAAGGAAGAGCGATAATTCAAACAAGGTGGTGGTGTGTCAGTACAGCAAATGAAAGCAAACATCTCCACTTGTAGAACACTGCCAAGTGCATGGACTTGACTCTTTTTAACTTATTCATTGTCCAGGTTACACAAGTTTCAATTTTGACAGCTGACTTTTTTTTTTTCCAGTTCGGGAAAAAAATTTATGTCTTAAACATTGCAAGTTTCAATTTAGAGGCAACATTCAAGTTCCAGGTAACAAAAGCAGAAGTCTTATAAAAATATTATGTAATTTCACCCATAAGGGAGCACAACAGACAGAGCATTCATGCTACTTATTTTCAGTATCTAAGTGCCAATTCCTTTTAAAGTCTTCCACCAAAAAAGGTTTCAACACACTCCTAACTTGTTAATTCAATGGCTTTAATGAATGTATGCTTACATCTCGGCACACACAAGCTTCAAATGGAAACATTACACCACACCTAGAATGTCTCCCAGAAATTTCCTACTCTTTCCATTTCTACTGAAACGTGGAAATAACAGGAACAGGGTATTTCACAGCTTATTTGGGGGTTTGGGGTTTTTTTGGAGTCTGAAGACCATATTTCAGAGAGAGAAATCTGCAGACATTAGGTGACCACTTAGGATTTTGCGTAGATAAATCAAGTAAGTCTCAATTTTAATGTACGTACGACATACTGAGGAAGAAACCATGAACTAACTGCACCTACTAGCAAACCAGCAATCCCCAAGCCTGGAAAAAAAAAACCAAACCTCTAAATTTAGAAAAGCACAGGAACAACCAGGAACCCACTCTCAGGAAATCAAAAGATCAGAAACCCACAGCCTTCTTCTTCCACCAAGTTTGACTCAAGAACAAAAGAGGTATCACATTCAGACCAAATTAGGTAAGTGATTGAAGAGAGAAGAAAAAGCTTCTGAGGACTTGTGCTGGGAAATTTTAGATAAATAGTTGTCGCCAGCATACGCGAGATTTCATCTGTTGTTAGCCACTGGGTTCAATTAAGGGCAAAATAAGAAGCTTAAGCAACTTCTAACTGCTCACGTCTTTAAAACACGCAGCCTTATGTTTCAAGCTATAGTAACTATTAGGTACGTTACAGATCAGAATACACACCCGGTATCTCCCAATCCATGAAGAAAAATGACCTAAAAACAAAAAAACCAAACACGTAGCGGTGTAAGATCACTAAACCACAAAGGCGCCTAACGCACGCCCAGCAGAAGCCCACAGGAGATCGCACCCGCTAGCTCGGAGCACGACGCGACTTTCTCAGAAGGAAACTCCGCTTCCTTCTCGTCCCCCCCCACGCCCCCCCCCCGCCGCCATCAGCGGGCGCACCCCGCCC